TCGCCTGTCTTAGTCCAGCAAGATAAGTGTGACAAAGTGGTCGTTCTCCACTTCTCATCTGGCCATACTTTACCTGACGTCTGGATCTGTGAAGACTTCTCAAAGTTCCCTTAACTTCTGCATTCTCAGGAGATTTACACTCATTGTGAAATGGATGAAGGTGTAACTGTCTATAGTCTCTGAGGTACACACTGAATAGCAGAGTGGTATTCTTAGCTTTATTTACTCAAATGTTCAGGTTGATTGCTTAATTTTGTTCCATTCAATAAGTTGGAATTTTGTGCTTCAAACGTTTACTTTGGGCATATAATAGAAATGTGCTTTGGTGCAAACATACAGAGAGGTCTCCACCCCCTTCTGTCCCCTGTCTTATGTTCCAGTTCTTTCTGGGTCAGTGAAGTGCAATGGGGAAAAGTTTAAATGTAAATGACAGTAATACCTGATTTTAAAGTCCTTCTTTGCAGTTAGCATTACCTATGTGATCCTGGATGCTAAGGAGACTCTCTGAATCCCAAGGGGTGCAAAGTTCAGGGTGTGATACCTATTTGGTTGTCAGCCCATGACTTACCTTCCCTTTACATTTACAGAGGAAGCAGAGTATAGCAGCGCCATATTGCACGGCTATAGCTTCAAAGCCCTAAACTTTCCTTTTCATCCACCTTGGATAATATTTCTATGTCCTCAACAGAATGAGAATTGGGAAATGCCATGTCAAAAGTGATAGTCCAAGGGGTCATTGTAGTGCTCTAACAGAACCATAATTGAAATTTTAGGCTAAAATTAAATTTGGAATGATTTTTATGGGAGTTTATTCATATATAAAAGTTCTCTCTACACACTGTAATTATACCACTAGGAGAGAATGGTGGTAAATCCTGCATACACAAACCTCTGTGTGTGTGTGTATGTCCCTGCATATATAGGGAAGTAGAAGATAGACAATTTATGTATGATACCTAAATAGGTAGACAAGATGCATAGATGCATAGAGTATATGTGTATATGCATGCTATATACCGTTTTGTTGAGTTTAGTATTATATCAGATAACACTCATAGGATCCTGGGATTGCCTGACCTAAAGCCTATGCAGTGACAACATGGTTGATGGGCTGTAATCTCCCAAGGATAATCTGAGTCACAGGTGGAAACAGCCTTGTGACTTCACCGTGTTGTCAAGAAACCACACTAATTTTGTGAGTGGCAGCCGTTCTACCTTGTTATGAAGGTGAGTCCTATTCTATCCCACGCTGTCTTCTGAGCTGTCTGTGTACACATGCAGCTGACCACAAACCATTAAAAGTTTCTGGAACTTGGGCTCCATGTGCACACAGCAAAGATAACTCATTCTGAAGGCAGGGCATCTCTTCTTCCTAATCCATAGACTGTCAGTGCTGTCCATATTGTCAACACTACAGGCTCAAGTATCAGTTTTCTTCCTTTTACTACTTCATACTTGAGTTCCTGGGAATTCTTCCTTAAGCATTTTTTCATTCCCCCACCCAACTGCCCTCCTCACTCTGAATCATGCCTTGGTCCTCTACCAACTCTCTCTACAGCTGACATGGGTTTCATCTGCCCAGTTCCCTGCTTAGACTGCCTCACCTGCTCTGCCCTGCTTCTGAGAAAGAAGTCAAGTGAAGAACTTAGGTGCTCTAGGATGTGGCCCCTTCTCCCAGTCTTTCCATCTTTGGCTTCTCCCTACCCAGAACTCCATGTTCTGGATCTAGGTTGATTGAATGCAGTATAGCTCACTCTTCCTGGCTAAATGTAGTTCCCCTTCAGTCTCAGCCCAGTCACTGGGGAAGCCAAGGTATGAGGTGCCTTGATTGCCTGATAGTGGAACCCCCAAAGTCCCCCTCTGTCACAGCTCTTCCTGTCCGACCAAGACCAGTTCATCGCTTGCTTTGGGGAACTGTTTCAGAAGATTGAATTGCGATTATGCTTTCTTTTTCTTTTAGCTCATTTGTTCATGACATAGATGAAAAAGTGAAGGAATTAATGGTCCCTGAAATATTTATCTTCATTTGGACATCAGTGAAAGATTACCATTTAAGGTATAATTTTTGAAGAAGTAACCAAGTAATGGTAAAAGTTAAAAAAGCACTTCATATCTATTAGATTACCGAACTTCATGGATGTGTATGATTTCCTGGAGTCCTGCTGGAAGACTGTATGAAAGTAGATCAATGCTTAACATCATACTATGGACATCTGTGAGACTGATTACGTCTGCCTACAAAGCCTGTGCCCTTTGAATACTCCCAAGGTCCTGTTTCCTCATCTATCCAATGAGAATAAAATGAGAAGCCCTTAGCACTGGGTGTTTGTGGACTGTCAGTAAGGAAGCCCTGGAGGATTGTTTTAAACTGTATCCAATACTCTGAGGCTCCAGAAACTGATGGTGATTTCTGATACACTGAGTCATGCTGTATCCAGTGAGTATGTTCAGGTCAGCAGCGGAAGCCACCAGCCAACTTCCGTCACTGCAAGTCCCTAGGGCACAAACAGGCAGCAGGAGGCTCTCCAATCAAGTAGCAAAGAGAGTGAGAGAACTGGGGATCATTCTATAGATGTGATATTTTGGGGTTCAACAATATTATCATAAAGAAAGGCTGTGTCAGATAAACATACAGTTTTGGTCTAAATATTTCTTCAAGAGATTTTCACACAGGAAAGAGCTAATCATCTCTTCAGATCTTGAAACTGAAATCAAGTGGCCCAGTTCTGGGAGATATCAGTTTTTGGTAGTGTTAATACTTCCTCATTGTAAAGAGGAAAAATGATGTCTATTGGAAGTCTTGACTCCAACTCACAAGACTCATGGTTGAAGTAGGATTGTCTAAGGGAGGATCACCACATGGAAGTTTTCCTTTGGGGGAAAGTGAAAAGCCTCATTCTGTAGGGAGGTGACTGAAAAGCTTGTCCTTTATGGTGGCCACCTACCACCATCTCCAGCAGATCACAGAATCTCCTTTCAAAAGACAGACAGGGGCAGGAAAGGTACAGGGTCTCTCCTCTGTGCCCATCCAGTTTTACGGGCACTGTGGGAAAGAGAAAGTGAAGGATCAACCTTATAGGAACATGAAGATCAAGTTCAACCCCTTTTCCCATCCCTCCCCAACATTCTGGGAGATCTTGTCTTGACTTAGGATGTCAGTAACAGGAAGAATGAAGGGCTCTCTCAGGAGTCAGATATCTTCAGTGTAAATGGAGAGGGGTGGGGATCTGAAAAATCAATTTCCTTAAGAGTTATTTATACTTTTCATGGGTTAATCTTTTTTACTTTCTTGACTTTATAATGAAGTCAGAGGTAAATATCAAATCTATAATTGAAAAGACACTGAGGTTAAGATTCAAAGTCTAAGAGTTTGTTATTGTCTTCCTCACTAGAGGACTTTGCTATTGGGAATGCATGCTACCTTTCTTCTACCTATCCATCATCTATCATCTATCTATCTATCATCTATCTCTGTATCTACCTATCATCTATCTAGCATGTACTAGGGGAGTGCACAGTGGGTGTGGGTCAGAGAACAGCCTTGGATATCGCCCCTCAGGTATCATTCCTGGGTACCATATATCTTGTTTTTTGAGACACGGTTTCTCACTAGTCTGGAACTTGCTGATTCACATATGACATTTCCTTCACCATGCCCATAGATAGATACCAGGATTAACTAGTATCTTGGGTGAAATGAATAGTGCTACAATAAACATGCAGCTGCAACATCTCTTTGACATGCTGGTTTCTGTTTCTTGGGGTATTTGCACAGTAGGGGTGCGATTCTATCTCTATCCATAAATATATGAATATTTGAAGAAAATTCAAATGATATGTGTCTTTGTTGACTTAAAAATATTACTCAGACTTTAACAAATTTTTTTTTTGCTCATCTGAGTTCTCACGGTTAAGGGTTCTGTGTTATTGGAGCTAGAGAGATTGCTTGGTGGTTAAGAGCACTTGTTGCCTTGCAAACGATCAGAGTCTGATTTCCAGAACTGTAGCTTCATTCCAGAGGATCTGATGCCCCCTCTGGCCTCTGTAAACACTGCACATATATGATTCACATGCAGAGAAGCAGTCATACATACATAAGTTAAAACTCAATAAAAAATTTAAAAACATGTCTGTGTTACTGAATGAGTCCTCTACCCTCTCTTTGCCACCACCTTCATTTGTCAAATGGAGAATGTAGTACCCACTTCAAGGGCTGCAGAGTTAAATGAAATCATATAAGAAAGTTAGTAAAATTCCCAAGAAATTTCTGATAACTGTTAGATGCTATGTTAACCTTAAGGCTGTTTAATAATGGCTGACTTGAATATCTCTATCTAGTATACACTCCTGACACAGCTCCATGCTCCAGGGAGAAGAGAGGATGCGCTATACAGATTACCTTGCTAGATACCTGCAAGCAGATGAAGTTTATTCATTCTTCAGGGTGCCTAGATTAGAAATGAAATACAATAATCAAAGTCACAATCTGCTGTGTGACTTTGCATTTGATAGGAAAATAAAACACAAAACACCTCAGTGATAGTGCACATGGTGTAATAGTGTCAAACAAGCACTATAGCATCTGATTTTTTTCTCATTTTGCAGAAAAATTGAGGTCAGATTTCATATCTGGATCTTGAGTCAATAGCAAATCATAAAAAAGCTAGACATGGGAACAGAATATAGCAAATGTTTATTCATAGTTTCAAAACAACATAGCTACAGTATGAAACTGCAGAGCGAAGGACTAACTGGATGACTCTCCCTGCTCTGCACCTTGATGAAGACAGGCAGACAAAAGATGTCTCTGGATCTTTAACCCACATACTCATTTGACTAGCTCCTATATGAGGCAGGAAACCCCAGAACTGCTCATAACTACATCAGACCCTGAAGAACCTTGGGGAATCACCTGACTCTCCACTTTGAGACACTAGGACAACCCCATCGCCCTGCAGGCAGCCTGAGCCCTCCAGCTCATAGCTCCTTGCCTCCTTCTTGTGAAACCAGCCTGACATCCAGAATGCTGCTCTTGAAAGCAATCATCTTCTCCTGCCTCTGGGTTTGTGAGTTGCCCTAGACATTTCCATGTGCAGGAGATAATGAAGTCATTCTTTATTTTTGCTCCTGCACATGCTTTTTGTTTATGGGAATTTCTCTCTTTTGTTTGCAGTTGGACATGGGGAGTTGGAGCAACCTGAAATATCAGTTTCCAGAGTGACAGACCAAAGTGCCCAAATATCCTGTCACGTTTCCCTCCCAGATTTTACCAAAGTAGATATTCACTGGTACAGACAGAAACCAAATCAACACTTAGAGCACCTAACATATGTCCGGACAGACTATAATCAACGCCCCTTAGAAGGAAAGAACAAGAAAATTGAAGCAAGGAAAAATCTCCAAACTTCTACTTCAACCTTGCACGTAAATTTCTTAAAGAAAGAAGATGAAGCCACCTACTACTGTGCCTTCTGGTTAAAGCACAGCACTAGAGCTTCCAGAACAGCCTACATAAAAACCATCCTCCATCTGTGCCAACCCACATCCTTCTCAGCATAGACAGGCTCCTGCTGCTCAGCTGGGCCACCACCTGAGCCTCCCTTCCCCCCAGCATTTCCAGAGCTTCCCAGGCAACATTGTGAATTCGGCTCTGCCAGTGAGGTCCCATCGTCTATAGTCCAAATGAAGGACAGCTCTGCTCTATAGCCTTCTAAGTTAGCATATTTGAGAGCTGTTCAAATACACAGCGGAAGGTTCACAGCATGTTTTAGTCATTTGTTAATTCTCTGTACAGAGGCTTGCAGTAACTGAATGGTTCATGATGAAGTTAGGAGAGGGCTAAATATGAGGAGAGAGATGCATTTTTCAGGGATATTGCCTGTTATTGTTATTTTTCCAGTTCAGTGATGAACACTGGTGATTTTCAGAGGTAGAAAGATCTGTTAAGGAAAATAATCTCATGTTTGTTTTTATAAAAGTTTTGGGCCATCATGAAAAAAGCTGGTGACCATTATATCCGTAAGTGAATAATCAGCTTACTGGGGGATATGAAAAACCAGGGAGTGGATGAAGCTCGGTTCACACTCTGAGCTCAAGATTGGGATAAAGCAAGCCCTGTACTCCATGGATCTGCAAAGAAAATAACATCCAGAGGAAGAGCATCGAGAAACTCAACATGTCAAAAAATAAAAATGAAAAGAAGACAAAAAGATGTTTGTGGGAAGAGGGACGAGATGTAATGAGGGGGGCTGGGATGAGGGAGACAAGAGAACGTACAATGGTGTATATACACGTAGGAAATTCTCAACAAATTAACAAAAAATAATGAAACATCCCTGTATCTACAGAGAAAACAGAAGGAATATAGCTTACAAAGCAACAAGATAAAAATATGATTGACGGTTGTGTTTATTCTGTGATTAGCAGTGGAATGGTTGAGGACTTTCAAAAATAATGTGACAAAGTGTTAAAAGTAAAAATACAGAGATTCCCCTATAACATCCTTGAAATTATTCTGTGAATTAGTTTCCAGGCAAAAAAGGCAAACCTAAGTTAAAGATTCTACAAGGCTGTTTGACTATTAGAACGTTCATGATTGTGGAGAATTGGAAGGTTGCAATTTCAAAACCAAATTATCTTGGGCTATCTTTAGACACCTTAATAACAGGTAATTGTCCATCACTATGTTTGAACTATCATTCTTGAGACTAATAGATAAATCCTTTTGAAATGTATTAACAGACTATTAGTGTCACCAACCCAAAGGCTGTCATATAACATCTGATGCCTATTGAAGAGATTTCTACACTTTGCTGTAACCTGCCTACCTGACATTTGATGTCTTGATCTATGCCTTTCTTTTGTTCTACTATTAAAAAAAAAAAGCTTGATGAAACTGTTACCCTGTTGGAACATGATATTTGGGATAACCCAAATCCCTGTTCCTGGGCTGTGGCCACCTCTTTTTGCCTCCGGAATCAATTATCTTTTATTTCCTTTAAGGTGAGAGCTTTGTTTTTTCAATGACATTTCAGGAACTGAGGAAAAATTTGGCTTCAGACAGTATTCTTAGCTAGGTATTGAAGTAATCATAACATTTGCGAGGCTGAGCCAAGAGGAGAATGATACTGAGGGTAGCTTGAGTGGTAGAGTGAGAACTTATATATAGAGAGAGAAACAATAAAAGAGTGTGTGGGGGGAGGAAGCAAAAGACAGTTACCTCCTACCACTGATGTCATTTATATAATACAGTTAACACACAGGCCTCTCTTTCCCTAAGTTTGGTAAATTTTCTTCTATGGCTTTATTGAAAATATTTCTATGCCTTTGTTATAGAGTTCGTCTTCTATGCCTATAATTATAGGTTTGGTCTTTTCACTGTGTCCATAAAACTTCACATGCTGCATTCATGTGGTTTTTAAGACTTACTATTTTCTTTGACAGAGTGAGTCAATTCCTCCATCTTTTCTTCAAGCCTTAATAGCTTGTCATCTACATGATCCACTATCTATTGGTGAGACTTTCTAAATAAATTTTCTATTTAAAATACTGAGTTTTTAATTTCCAGCATCTTTTATGTTTGAGTTTTCTTCCATATTTATATCTCTTCATTTAATTCTATTTTCATATCTTGAATTGATTTCCTTATTTCATTAAGCTGTTTGTGTTTTCTTAGAATTCAGTTAGCAGTTTATTCCTGCTCTCTTTAAGTTCATTCATGTTCTCTTTGAACATAGTTAAACTGTTCTTTTGAATTCTTTTTCTGGAGTTTTGTCTAAGTTGCTCTCATTGGGTACCATGTTTCTGGAAATTTATGGAGGAGCCATATTTTCTTGGTTTTTCATGTGCTTGAGTTTTTAAGATTGAATTTGTATACTTGGAGCTAATTTGCTCATAGATGTACTTTTATTTATTTATTTTTGGTATGCATTTCTGGTCTACCTTTCTTGAGTGGGTGTTTGGATCTATACCTGCTGTTACCTCAGCTTAGCTTTTTAAAAAATATTTTATTTATTATTTTTATTTTATGTGCATGTATGCATTGTCTGCCTGTAGATAAGTGCACCCGTGTTGTGCAATGCCTGCGGAGGACAGAAGGGGCCATCAGATCCCCTGGAAGTGGAGCCACAGACAGCTGTCAGCTGCCATGTGGATGTTAGGATTCGAACCTGGGTCTTCTACAAGAACAACCAGTGTTCCCAACCACTGAGCCATCCCTCCAGCCCCTCAGCTTAGCTTTTAAATCAGCTTGGTAGTGCTTAAAGTCCAATCCTAGGGACACTAGGTGCTGATTGGTGAGTGGGGTAACTGCACTGACCCCTAGCTCAGCTAGGGGGTTCACAGCCTATAACTTAATAAATGGATGTTTGGCAGGGAAGGTGGTGGAGTGCCAAGTTTGGCAGGGGTGTGGCATCTGATCTGGGGAGCAGGCAGGCACTCCACCAGGTCCTGCAGGTGGTGGTGGAATTTGAGATATCAGGAGTTGGTGGGTGTGCATCCAATTTATTTTTATATTTCCCTATTAATGTTTACTAACCAATCCTTTTTTGCACAAATATCTTTCCAATATCATCTGTGTAGCTTTGGATAAATTACATATATTTGATTCATTTTCCTAATTCACAATGGAGAACATGATAATATTAACCTAAATGAACTGTTGAAAGGTATCACTAAATAATATACTTTTGTTGGTCACAATACTCTTGATTCCCAAAACAATATAGGCTATTGTCTTAGCCCTTATTGCCCTCCATAACTGGAAGATAAGGCTGTATTGCTAAAGACACCATACACTCAAGTCATAGGACTTGAAAGAATCTGGCTGTAACTGAGAATCAGAGAGAGAGAGAGAGAGAGAGAGAGAGAGAGAGAGAAAGGAGGCAGGCTGGTGCTCAACTCACTTTGTCCTTTTCATTCAGTCAGAGATGCCAGCACATGGAATAAGTACAGTCTTATTCATAAGGGTCTTTTCAGCTAATCTCTCTAGAAATACCCTTACAGAGAGGTGCAGAAGCTTGTCTCCTAGGTAATCCTAACCATGCCAAGTAAACAGTCATGATTAATCATCACACCCTCTCAGAGAAATCTGACCATTATCATTTTAAAAAAAAGTCCTCCAAACAAGTCTCATCTATACACACAACTCTTCTGCTCAGCTCCCAGAGGGACCTGACCAAGCTAACAGACTGCTGTTCTCTGTATGTACATACTGAGCTGGGTCTCAGCGGAAGCCCAGGGCCCAGCTCTAACGTTCCTTTCATTGGGAGCCCCAGCACCTCTCCTTACCCTCTGGGCCTGAGCTACCTTTTGTCAATGTCCCAGGTTGTCTCTGCTTTCCCATCTACACGAAGTGTCCTGGGAAGAAGCTTGAAACCCAGTGCTCAGGATGGATTTTGAGTAAGTGAATGAATGAACTATGGACATTTCAAGGTCTTTAGAATGAAATAGGACTAGTTTCTACATTCTTACTTGGCTCTTACTAATAGTGTGACTTAAGAAAGGTACTAGACCTCCTCACTCTATTTTCTCAATATTACATGGGCACATTATCAACAAGAATTCAGGGCGTGTTGAAGACTTCATAAAATTGGGTCTAAAAGCTCTTTGCAGCAACAAATTCTAATCTATTTTACATTATGATTCAGTCACATTATTGATTTACCTCAGGTCAAATCCCATTTAAAATTTTCTCCAAACCAGAGTAAACTGCATCTTTATTTCTGAAAAATGAACAATTATGAACAGGGTAAGGGTGAAAAGGAAGTTTTTCTCCAACACATTGCTTCATTTACAACTGTGTATAACATAGTGTACATCACCTGTAATCACATGATTATTATAATAACTAGAATCAAATCACAAACTTTGGAGGAAGTTCTGATCTATAACAGGTATTATATTGCACCAGACTGTGAAATTCTTTTTTATGATTGTGGAATTCTTATCTCACTTTACTATATTAAATAATTATATTTTTCTCTATCATTATTATAATCACATATAGCTATAGACACCTCTTAAAAATATGGAGAAGTATAAATATCAGTGAATGAAAAAGATGCCCAGGAAAGGTGTTTTTAAAGCAATATTCGAAGAACAATGGCCCCAGGCTGTTGCAAAGGGGAAGTCAAGTCACTGTGTTGTGACACAGGTGTTTAGATGAGGTCTTCCAGGTCCCCATAGTTTCTCTGAGCCAGGAACCTGATGAAATGATCCAAGATCACTGAGCAGAATTGTATTGAATTGCCTTTCCGGTTCAGTGGCAACAGACCTAGGGCAGCCCCTGAATCCACTGTAGCTCGGCTGCTTCTCTCTCTCCTTGGTGTCTACTCCAACTAGTCACTGGCTGGAGATGCCAGCCCCATGGGTTTTCCTTCTGTCTTTGCTTGAATTTTCCTTTCTTCCTCTTTCATTTTTGTGTACAGAGCCAAATGGGAATAACGATTTTAAGGGTTGGGCGTGGTGGTGCACGACTCGG